TATTATTGCTTTTTGGTCTCCTCTCTGTGCCACAGCCCCACAGTCCATTTCTGGGTTTTCCTCTCTATAGTCACGACGTCACACCGACAAAGAATGATAATAGAAAATAGTAGGTGCAGCTCACTTGGTTTATACGCATTGCTGGAATCTAATTGTGTACGTACGTTTGTATATACTAGTATTTATTATTGCAGATTACTGGTACTCATGCAATAGGTTTATTATTTTACTTGTCAGGCTCCAACTCTGACATCACCAGACCATTATCTATTTATCAAACTCTTACTGTTTGAATATTTTTGTCCGATTCAACTTAAATCCTTCTAGATTAAATATTTGTTGAATCCGACAAAAATATTCATACAGAACTTAAATCCAAAATATTTTTATTAATATAGAAGGATTAATATAATATTTATTTGAATTTTTTTAATTATTTAATAATAAATATTTAAATATTTTTATAAATAACATATTTAAATATGAGACTTCTGAAAATAATAAATATATCTTTAAATTCAAACTTAAATAGTTTTTAAAATCATCATAATTATCCTACTCATGACCAGGAGTAGGCGGCGACCAGCCACAGGAAGGACCTGAACTTAAAATCACCGGCCTACTTTGCTACCAATCAAATAATACGAAGAGGAGTGGAAGTGGGCCTAAAAGGATTGTGCAACCATAAACCTTTTATAGTTAATTAATAGTTTTAATTTATTGATTGAATAATTTAAGTTAAATATTATAAATAATTATTATATTTGTCTATTCAATTTTTTTATTCACAAGGATTTATAATTATAATTTTACTTAAAAGATTTAAAATCTTATTCTATCATATCAACTAGAACAAACAGATAATAAGCAATAAATAATTAGTGGAGAGGCATGGGCAAATGGGGCATGAACGATCCCTTACTGTATTATCCTCCCGGGCTTTAATCTCAACCATAAGATCAGTGCCGTGGCTGGGGCGGTGCGAACTGCGTGACGGTGCAGCCCAAAAAAGTATATTTATAGTGGCGTTTTTCAATAAACGCCACTATAGATGGATCTATTGTGACATTTTTTAAAAATAAAACGTCACTATTGTTGTAGTTTTATTGAAAAAATGCCTATGAATCTAGTGCGACGTTTGTCAAAAAACGCCACTATTATTACCCTAAAACCGAATATATCTAAAAAATAGAGGTCTATTTATAAGAATTTATATAGGGTTCCCGAAAACCTAGTCACGACCCTGCATAAGATAATATAGGTAAGAATATGTGACACGCGGAAGTATGACCCAATTTATTGAAATTTGGTCGTGTGCTAAGATAGCATATAATATATATGAAGAAAAAAAAATAGAGACTACGTTGATGATGAGCAGCCCGTACATTTGTTTTGGTTCAGGTTTTTGTGGTCGGAAAGTGATGGTTTCAAAGTAGCTGATACTGTGTCAGATGTCTATAATGAATTTTTTTTTTTATAGATGAAAGATCAAAATCTTTATTTTTACGAGAATCACACACAAATGAATAAGAGACTGTCCATAAAATAAAAGTTCAAAGATATATATTTTTTATAGTTAAGAAAATCAAACAATTTTGTATATCTTATGGTAACAACTGAATTTTGATTGACTATTGAGAAGGATTAAATTATTAAATTTTAACGTCTTTCCATACTTTTTTTATATTTCCTCTTAGCCAAAACTCTATTCCACTCGTGTGGACTTCTAACTGCCTTCTTGGCTTGTGCCCAACAAGTCACCTACATGCCATCTTTCCTTATTTTTAGTGAATTTGAACAAAAAATAATAAATCAATTATATTTTTTTTAAAATTTTAAATTTAAATATTTGATTAATATTTTTTAAATAATTCAGTTGTATATTAATCCAAGAAAAATAGCCACTGCTGTAACAACAAATTATAAAGGGATCAGTTCAAAAGGATCCCTCAACTGCCACACAAAGCAAAATTCACCCCATCTAATCTATCTATACAACAAAATTGTAATAGGATCCTAGCCACCTCCTTAATACAATTCACAATACCCTCAACTGAACGAAAATCTCCCCTAAACTGCCTATAATTATGTTCTTTCCAAAAAAAATACAAAAATCCTGCCCAAGCAAGCTTCAGAATACAAACAAGAACCTTTTAGTTTCTCCACAACCCAACACATAGCACTTCCCCAACCAAATTACCTCGACCGCAGGCAGCAAAGCTGCAGCACCCGGTTCCGAACTTCACAAGAGAAATAGCACTCCATAAAGAGGTGATCTCTGATCTCGATATGAGTTTCACACAGATTACAAATGCCATCGCCACTCCCAACCGAGCCAGCCTATCCTTTGTGGGCATCCTATCCAAGATAATCATCCAAGCAACAATCGAATCCTTAGGGATGTGAATAGGAAACCAAACAACCCGATGCCACTACACCCTAGGCTTCTTCTCCCTTATTCTATCCCAAATCCAGCTGTTATTAACCATTGCCCAATTGACACCGTTACCAAGCAGGACACTAGTTTCTGTCCTCAATTTCAGCAGTCTCCTCAGTGTCCAACTATAGTGAGACTTGCACTCCACACTCCAGAAATCCCCCCTTTTTAAGGCAAATTAATTAATTAATTAATAATAATAATAGATTATTAGTTCATTATGACTTAATTATTGAGTTAAATTCGAATCAATGTTTAGTTCAAGTCGGATTTGAATAAATTAAATTTGAGATTCTTTTGGTTTGAGTTAATTTCAGTTCGAGTTATTTTTTATTTGAGTTGCTTTTGGTTCGAGTTATTTTCGATTAGGGTTTATATCAATCCATTTAAAGTTAAGGTCAATTTTGATTCAATTTGATTTGTTCCGAATTTTGGATGAAGTTTAAATTATCATATTCGATTTTATATCGAGTCTCAAATTGAATAAATTAATTTGAATAATAATGTTGGGATCAAATTTGCTAGGTCTAGTTTTTATAGGGGTGTGAGGAGTTGAATTTGTCATCGTGGGGGCCGGATTCAACTGGATTTAGAGGAAGTTGTTTAGATAAGGATAAGGGAGATCGTGGCAGAGTTGAAGTGGGAGAGAGTTAATCCCGTGGCTGGCGACGGTGGGTGGAGGGAGCAGAGGCGGCTGGAAGGAGATGTGCTAGCCAGGGTTTTTGTTGAGGTTGGGCTGGGTCAGCCATTAGGCCTGGCATTTGGGTCAAGAGTGTTTCAGAAGATTGGAGCTTGATATTGGATCCGAACAAAATTTATCATTACACAAGTAAAACACAAAAACTAGCAGATGGGCTCATGGTTTTAGTGTAGCAGAACACGCCTATACACATACCTGGATAATGCATACGTGAAAACGAGAGTGGTACAATTTCGTAATATCGACAACTGGAAGGGTGATAGAGTATTTATTGTCAAATGGTTGAGGGTGCTTAGAATAAATATTACTTTATAATAACTTTTAGCTTAATTAAAAAAAAAGCTTCGAGGATCTCGTACAAGAAGCTGAATCCTTTTTGCATTCCGTTTGCTGCTAAAAAAAACTGGTTCGGTAATGCTTGCAATTGATTTGGTGAGCTTAATTTTAGAATTTTCAACTTGAACTTGAAACTTTTTAAACTGATGATTTCTTCAGGGATGGACGGGCCCTAACTATTCAATCTCCACTGCGTGCGCATCAAGCAAATTTTGCATATTAAATGCAGCAAACCGTATCATTGGAGGCGAAAGAAAGAAAGATTAAACATAAAGGCTGCATTGTCTAATTCTTTAGGGTTCGGCGGCCACAACTCCTCCATTTTCGCACCATACAAGTAAAATAGTTCAATCATTTCTCTACAAGCGGATGTTAGGTTTGGTGATCGTAATTTATGTTATAATCTACAAGAAGAAAGGACTGGTTTGATAGTCAATTTGTAATGAAATTTGAGATGCCTGTATTGCCAGTTACACTTGTAGCTATATGAATATGATGATTATTATTATTATCCCTAAAAAGTCAACACCACCAACCACCATTACAGTACCACAGCTTGAGCTTTTATCTTCTTCTCCTACACTTGCATGATTCATCCCCCCGGAACCTAACAACGTCGCCGGTTAACGCCGTCATATCCTGATGACGGTACCACCCATGTCCATGTTCCTCAACGTCATCACTGTCTCCCAACTCTAAATAGGTCCGACTTAAATCCGACCCTAGCATAAATAGGACCACATAACCGTTTGGAGAACCCGAAGCCCAGTGGGCAGTGACGGAAGCTACTGGTTTGGACAAGTACAATAGACTTCATGGTGAGTAATAGCCGTCCAGTGCTTTTAAGTACAATAGACTCTGAATTAGGCAACACTTGAATTGTTTACCTAAACATAATAATTATCATCCGACTCATGTCTTCACCATCATAATTATCATAGCAGCACCATACTTTAGAGTTTTAAATCTTTTATAGTTATATAAATCTCAATTATATTTTTCAAATATGAAATTCAGATTTAAAAAACATTAAAATTGTTACTATCATTTAATTCAATATGAAATAGTTGGTCCATATTTTTCGACGGGTTTTTAGACGAGAATATGAGTTACTTCGTTCATATTTTCTCCCCGTTTAAGACTTAAGAGTTTTATTCGTCGTATTAATCTATCACATGAATCTTATCAAACACAGAAACAGGACCAAAACTAGAAAAAAGAATCTTCAGTCAACCGATGAGAGAGTTAGGAGAGAGTGATGACGTTGAGGAACGGGGAAATGGGGTGGTACGGCGACATTGTTAGGTTATGGGATGAGTCATTCAAGTGTAGGAGAGGAAGATAAAAGCTCAAGCAGTGGTGCTGTAATGGTGGTTGTTGGTGGTGACATTTTAGGGATAATCAAAATAATAATGATGATGATGTAGCTACAAGTGTAACTGGCAATACAGCCAGTTCAAAATTCATTACAAATTGATTATCAAACCAGTCATTTCTTCTTGTAGATGATAACAAAAACTACGAGAACCAAAACTATATATCTACCACACCCACTGGTCCAATGGCCCATGTCAACTAAAAAACATGACTAACAGCTCCATTGTAGCTAGATATCAGGAGAAAACGAAATCTCAGAAACAATGGCGTATAGACCACGGCGAGAACGTTCTCTCCTTACAACTCCAAAGCTCCGACTATTAGGCCACCTATACTTTGTATAATAACCCTTTCAAACTGATGTTTGTCCACAGATGATATGCTTTGTTGATACTGCACCCACTGCGTTAACAAAGTTACCAACCCAAATGCGGACGGAAATTATATTTATCGGCAGGTGGTACAGATACAATATACATTTATATTCTAAACTATCCATAAAGGAGCTTACATACCTTCCGCCATATCTGAGAAAACACCTGTGGAGCAATGATTGAACTATTTTACTTGTATGGCGCGAAAATGATAGAAGAGTTGTGGCCGCCGAACCCGAAAGAATTAGACAATGCAGCCTTTATGCTCAATCTTTCTTTCTTTTGCCCCACAAGCACATTCATGTCCTGAATTAGATGTGTTGGAAATATAAGATAGTATCATCGGTTAACCGAGGGAAATATAATCGTAAAAAAAACAACAATGAAAAATGAAAAGAGAGAAGGCACAACAACAACATACCACTGCTCCATCTGGGGTTTCGAGATTGATGTTCGGATGGACCCAACCAGTCCGTATTGCCTACAATAAATAAACATTGCCATGCCAATGCTCAGGTCCCATCAAAAGGATAGAAAAAGAGATACAAAACACGGCAATTGCGACGAAAGTACTTTGCCAGAAAAAAAAAACAAGAAGCTTTTTTTAGAATAGTTCAGAAATAACAAACATTCAGCACAAATAATGCCCGTGAAGTCTGGTTTCTAAATTCAAACATAAAACCATAATCAAAGCTCTGCATACTTGTACTGCTGCAACAGCTTCCACGGCACCAGCAGCTCCCAGTAGGTGACCGATCATTGATTTTGTAGAGTTCACCCTTAACTACAAATTTTGGAGATCATATCACTAATCACAATGCAGAAATATGAAAAGCAGATCGAATGTAGTATCAGAGAATAACATGCAAAACATTACCTCGGGGTTCTTGCCAAAACAATGGAGAAGAGCCTGGTACTCTTTAATGTCTCCAGATGGTGTAGATGTAGCATGAGCATTAATGTAATTTACATCTTCTATCGGTACGCCAGACTGAGCCAATGCCTTCTCTATGCAGAGAATGGCACCAATTCCTGTTTTCCGGTTTCACAAGATGAATGTTAGTTTAATAGTTCCTATAATAGCATGTGTTGCTTCAGAAAAGGCATACTTATTTCATATAAAAATAACATTTGAGTTAAAGAAGAAAGAATTCCAGTAGTAAATACGTGGCTCATTACCATCAGGATGTGGCTCAGTCATATGATAAGCATCACAAGTGAAGCTTCCACCCAAAAATTCTGCATAGATGGTCGCACTTCGCCTCTGCAAAATCAAATTTAAACTCGATAATTTTATCTTCTAAGGAAACTAATGTGCATTCCAAGAAACTTCACCATAAACCACTAGGTACAAACCTATGGCTCAAATAAGGCTTGTAGGGTCAAAGAAAGTGTACCTTAGCATGCTCCAATTCTTCTAAAAGCAGAACCCCAGCACCCTCCCCCATGACAAATCCATCACGATTCTGTATAAAAGTTAGAACAATTACACTCGTGATGAAGACTGAGAAAATTATGTGCATTTAAACCACCTAGGATTAGAGAGTACTTGAGAAATAGTCACACTGTCAAAGTACCATGAACAGACATGAGAACAACAGAGGCAGACAAAATAACCAGGTTGCTTACTTATTGAAATGATAAAATTAATTACCATCACTCTGAGTTTTACTGCTTTTGTTCATGAACTTGATAAAAACCAAGAGCAAAAGAAAAAAGAAACTCTGGAGGCACAAGAGTAATTGAAATATTACAGCATCCCAAGGGCGTGAAGCTTTGGTTGGATCATTGTTCCTTTGAGAGAGTGCTCTGCATGCCACGAATCCTCCCAGTCCTGAATAAAAAACCATAAAATCAAGTATATCCTGCTTGTAACAACTGGAAAAATTGTAAATGATGACAAATAAAAAAAGAGAGAAAGATATACCAATCGGTATAATTGCTGCATCTGAGCCACCACAAAGCATCACATCCTGCGATTTTATTTCAAATACCTCAGAGGCTCAAACATGGGTAAAAAAAAACAAACCACGATAAATTGGATTTTATCTTTCCATAACTTACAGCTTCGCCTCTAATGATGTGGTTTGCTGCATTTAATATGCAAAAGTTGCTTGTTGCGCATGCAGTGGAGATTGAATAGTTAGGGCCCATCCATCCCTGAAGAAATCATCAGTTTAAACATAAAAGTTCGAAGTTCAAATTTCAACATCCATCTTAACATTGAAAATTCTAATTTAAAAGCTCACCAAATCCATTGCAAGCATTGCTGAACCCATATTTGTAGTAGCAAACGGTACGCAAAAAGGATTCATCTTCTTGTACGAGATCCTCAAAGCTTCAATTGCATCATTGAAAACCTTTTCATTCCAAAAACCACCTATAAGAATCAATGGACAGAAAAAAGAAAACTAATTGCAAAAACAGTTTGTTTCTTAAGGTTGTGGGCCCTTATGATTCAAGAGATTTTACGTTATTAAGGTAGGCTTTAAACACAAAGCTAGTATTACAAAATTGTACCACTCTCGTTTTAAAGTATGCCTGTATGTCAGCATGTTCTGTTATACTAAAATCATGAACCCAGCTGCTAGTGTTCGTGTCTTACTTGCATCAAGTTTAATGTTTATAAATAGAAGGGTTTATCAGCTGTTTCTTATATCCAAGCATCCATCACCTTCAAAACGAAGGCATATGTTCTATAGACTGCAAAATTTACCTTCATGCCACCCATTGCTGAGCCAATCAGAACTCCGCATTTCGCTTTATCTAACTCATCCATTACATCTTCAGTTACTCCACCGTCTTCCAAGGCTTTCTTTCCAGCAATAAGCATATAAAGCATGAATTTATCCATCCTTTTGGAAAGTTTCGGTGCAACCCAACCATCCGCTGAGACAGATTTTATCTCTCCGGCAATTCTCTGGAGAAAAAAGCGAGAGCAGTAAGAACAAGCGCTGGTGCAAACGAAAAGCAGCTTAGAGATACTGAACATGACTTACAGTTGGGAACTGTGCACAATCAAAAGTCTCAATTTCACTTATACCACTAGCACCCTCGAGCAAGTTGTTGTAGAAGACGTCGGGATCATGTCCGAGCGGAGTCACCACTCCCATCCCTGTCACAACTACTCGTCTTTTGTTCGTAGGAGATTTCTTCTTTGTTGTGATTTCTCTGCTGGGTTGCACAGCTACAGCCATGGCTTCTCCTACATTATTAAATAAATTAACCCACAGATCATATGTAATTTAACCGGTGAGTTATATGATATTATGTGCATGAAGAAGTGTATTTTCTCTATCACCACCATTTAGCAGATAATCACACAGAAACAAACAATCACATGTATACAGAAAACCTCAGAAATTTAGTGTGCTTGGACAAGTATGTTCATTTTTATATTGAAAGTGGCAGCAAACCCATGAGAGATTGTTACAAAATGCTCATCTAGATAAGATAAGACAAGACAAAAAAAAAATCAGCCTACACGCCTAGCCAGTGATAAAATAAGAATTGAAGGCAAGAGGGTAGACAGAGCAAGATCTATGATATTCTTAATTATGTGATTGTTATATAATCTACTGAAACTGAATAAAAAAATTGAACAATTTTCACCTGAAAATCTAGCTCCTCGATTGAATCTGCGTTGCTTGCGATTGTTATTGAAGGGAAGGCTTTTGGATCCAAAAAAAGGAGAAAAGCCTCCATTTTGACCAAAAAGGCTACTGTTTTTGGAGGAATAGTACTCATTGCAGGGCTCAAAAGCTAAACACGAAGTCATCAAGCCTTGAATGCCGGATCCACAAAACGACGAAATCAAACCGCCGTTTTGGTTGCTGTCTGAGACGCCGTCGCATTGAGAGAGAGGAGCTCTCCTTCTAGTACGAGCCCAACGGCCGAGTCTCTTAGAGGAAGAGGAAGAAGCTGATGAACGGAGCATTGACGACTGATACTGATCTTTTCCGCACGTAACAGACATGCAAGCGGCCACCAACCACGTGCATAGCGGACTCGCCAGTGATGAAGATGCCATCCCCAGAAAATCAACCCAAAAAACTGCAAATTCAAAGGAGCGTCGAAATTTGGGTTATTGGGTTTTTTATTTATAAAGATTGGATTTTTTATGTAAGAAAAATTAAAATCTAGCCTTCAATCAATAAAAATTCCGAAGAAAAAATGTCAGAACGCATTGGGCATTTGGAGAAAAAAAAACATAGCTTTTGTAAGTGTGGGCAACTCAGAAATGAAGGTTTTAGAGCAGGAAGACTGCTAACATTAAAAGAATTTCAAAAGAAATAAATAAAGTATATTGAGGTCATTGAACTATGATAAAATAATCTTTTTAGTCATTTTATTTTCAAAAGTTGTAAAATAATTATTAAATTTATCAAACTGTTACAAAATAATCACTATAATATTATAGTAATCATAAAGTTTGATAATTTACTGACGGAGTTAGTTCGAGTGAAAAAATTTAATATCGCTTAAGCATATCTTGAGTTTAAAATTTTGTGTATGTAAAATATTATTGTTGGGAGAATCACTCCCTAAAATCATTTGTATGACATAAGTCGGCTCGAATTAGTCTGAGCAAAGTCCTAGAGAATGGGGAGGAGAGACAACATCAAAAAAAAGTTTGATAATTTTAATAATTATTTTATAACCGCTGATAAATAAACAAAGGGTAAAATACATAAAAGTCATTGAATTATGCTTAAATCGTCATTTTAATTTATTTATTTTTAAAAATTATAGACATTAAATTTATTAAAATTACAAAATGATCGCTATAATATAATAATAATAAATTTAAACTAATTTAATGATTATTTTATAACAATTTGATCATTTTAATGACCATAGTGCGATAACTTTGATAATCATTTTATAAATAAAACTTAAATGATCAAACAAATTATTTAAACATGATTTAGAGACTTGCAGTGTACTTTACCCATAAATAATACAAACAAACAAAAAAGATTGGGAGACAGAGAGATGCTATAAGACAGATATCTATGAACAGAAATTTTTATCTTTTTATTCGTAACAAATAATAAGTAATAAATAATGCCGGTAATTTTAATATCTTAGTTGTTCATTTTTGTTTGGTATGGTTGTGGAAATGACTCTTCGGCCCATCATATTGGTCTCCTAATTTGAGGTTAAGGTCCACTTATATTTTAAAAAAAACATTAATCATTTTAAATGCCACTTTTAGTCTCTTGTTTTCATTTTTATAGTATATATATTTTTACGTGTAAATAAAAATATTTGGGTAAAAAACGTTGATCATTAAATTATATTAAAATATTTTTTTAGGATATTTAATTTTTAAAAGTTACAAAATGATATCTAAATTTATGGAATTGTTATAAAATGGTGATTACATGGTATGAAATAGTGATAATTTTTATAAGTTTAATTAACGAATAAAAAATATTAAACGAATGTTTTAATTTTATTATTTGTTTATTTTTCTAGCATATGCTGGAATAAATGTCCTATATTATTATTAGCATTTAGCAGCAAGGAATCTTCAATTTTTACATTCCACCGTTGAGCGGTAAGCTTACCTCGAAAATATCGAACACAAAAACGATAAATTTCAGTCTACTTTTGGCCATTTGTATTTATATTTTGATTATAAACCACCATAAAGTTATTTTCTTCCAGAAATTTGAACGATTATTTCTTTAATTAAGAGTGATATTTATGTATAATAAAATTTATTTTATAAATTATTGTTTTTTGAGTTAAGATGATGATTATAGACTTAAGGTTCTAATTTAATTTTTAAGTTGAGACGATGTTTAACATTATCTGTTAAATTATAAAATTTAATTCAAAATTTAAATAATTTATATATAATATGATTTTGTTAACTTATTTTTTTTAATTTATTTGTATTTTATTTATCCCTACATATATTATTATTAATTTAATTATGTTTGACAACATCAACGAGGGTTGGTATAAACTGTCGAGGTTTAAGAATTTAAGCTTATAAGATTAAGTTTAAATTCTACCACGGTCACTCTAGGAGGGCAATCTATAAATTCATACATAAGTTTTAATTGAGTCTTTCCCTATTCCTGGATTGGATGAGTCATCTATGACTTAAACTTTTTTTTAAAAAAAAATTTGTTTGGAAGCGAAGGAAAAAAATGTGAGGGATATTGTTTCGATGGCAAAGATTACTAAAGAAACTGGGCCGTGGCCAAGAAAATATTAAAGAAACTGGGCTACTTTGCTTTTAAGTGCTGATGTGCCACTCAAAAAGCCATAAATTGGTCACTGCACTGCATTTTTTCAACCTAATTCAGGAATTTTATTGAGGTTTAATTGCAGTCACATACTCAAATCATACACACATTCCAAATTAGTTTAGAATTTCAAGATGCTATAATTTAGTCCCTAAAGTAATAGTATCGAATTAATTAGGTATTGTTATCAACTTAATCATCATTCGTACGTTAAGTGTTGGGCCAAATTTGAAATATGCTGATCAAATTTTAAACTTCTGTATACTTAAAAAATAAATAGTATTTATGAATGATAAAATTCAAAATATTTAATGGATTTTGAACTAATCTTACTTTTAAGAGGTAATGGAACAATTTTAGTACTTTCTTACCCCATATATATTCAAAATTAGTATTTTATTAATTATATATTTAATATTGGAAAAGATAAAACTCTAATGGTACAATATATAATAGGGTAAAGTACATAAATAGTCTCTTGACTATAGGGCGTTACTTTGTTGAGTCCTATGAGTATTAAAAGTTATGAAATGGTCCCTTAACTATAGGGTGTTGCTATGTTGAGTCACCCAATTATTAAAAGTTATAAAATAGTCCTCTAACTACAACATGATGTTGCTTTGTTGAGTCACCCGATTATTAAAAGTTACAAAATAGTCCTCTAACTGCAACATGATGTTTTGTTGAGTCTCTCAACTATTAAAATTACAAAATGGTCACCCGACTATTTATATGTTTTTAACTCATCCTTTTTCGTTTAAAAGATTGATGATAGTCTGAGTTGAACATTAACATGATGATTAAGATATGATATTCGTTTGAGATTTTGCGATCAGATTTTATCATATCACAGTCAAAAGGTTAACGTCTAACTCAAATTGTCATAGATTTTTAACAGAGAAGGACGAGCCTGTAACATATGAATAGTCGAGTGACTATTTTATAACTTTTAATAATCAATGGACTCAACAAAGCAATACCCTATAGTCAAGGGACCATTTCATAACTTTTAATACTCAGGTGACTCAACAAAGCAACACCCTATAGTTGAAGGATCATTTGTGTACTTTATCCTATATAATAAACCATCAAATGTTTAGATAAGATTTTTGTAAATTATTCTTTTATATTTACATATCAAATGAGGCTGAGTGAAACAGAACGATCATGATTTATGAACATATCTGATATCTACGAAAGTGGCAGTGATATTAAAGTCTTAACATGCGAGGTTGAGATAAAGCATGTGAATATTGGGTTGGATTTGGTGACATCCACTCGTCTTGTTCTATTTTCATCTCTAATAGTCATTAAGAGTGAACGATAATTTTAATTTTTAACATATTATATTTAAAGTATTTAAAAGTTTATATACAAATCTTTAAAATAATTCAAATTAATATTTAATCCTAAAATTGACTGTTTGATCAATAAAACAATCTAATCAAAAGTGTAATTAGGGTGTTGGCCAGTGCCTCATTTTCCTTTCTAATTTTCTTTAACTTTTTAAAACATATAGTAAAAGAATGTTTTCTTCCCTCCCTATCTACAATTTGTTAATTTTTATCTCAGTTCCCAATTTAAAAACTTTTAGCTTCTCCTCAACTGGTAAACCAAGGATTTAATTAAAATGTTTAGACCTTTGACGACAAATTTTAAACTTGAACAATAGTTCGAGGATGTAGGGCAAAATTAATCCATGTTGTATAGGTTAACAACTAGTTGTTTTTAGCTCCTCGTACAAGAGATGTCATCGAAAAGGACGACATAAATGACTAACTATCTAACATTGGGTTCATTAAAGTTCATACCAAGGGATTCACACATTTTATTTTCAGAGTCTAATAATCTGCTTTCCACCTGACATTTCGTACCTTTCGTTGTCGGATAAATGTGTTCCTCGTAACATATAAATAATGAGTTATTTTGCTCATTTCTTATTATCTAAACAAAAACACTATTTACTCTTCTTTGAGAAAAAAAAATATATATTTCAAGAAGAGTAAAATTATCGGTTTTCAATTCAGATTTTAGGTATATAAAATAACGAAGGATCATGTTGATCTCTGAGGATAGCGCCCTCTTCGAGGATTACACTAATTTAAACGATTTTACTTATAAAATAATTTTATTTTAACTTTGTTATCTTATTTTTTTTAATAAGTGCTAACGATACATTTTTAATATTACTATTTCTTTTCAATAAAGTCCAAATCTCATTATTAAGTAAATACCATATATAAGTTTTCAGATTATATTTGTTTTGACCCGCTATATACGGTTCTATATATGTGTATTGATTTAATCTTTATTACAATGGTACAAATGCATTATGGATTTTTATTCCATATGCTAACGATAAAAAAAAATCATAATGGCGGTTGTATAAATTTTATTTATGATTTGGGTTTATAATTTTAGGGTTAAATTTAAGTTTAGAGTCATTCAGACATAACGTTCGTCATTCAAATACACATACTTGTAAAATTTATTTATTTATTAATTGAACCAAAAATGAATAGAAGTCTAGAGCAGTGGACTTCAATGCTGAAGACCCAAGCGGTCTTGGTCGAGCAGAATCTGCAGTTCAACAGGGGGCTCTTCGAGTATCATCAGTGAATTCTCATGGGTATTGGGCATCTTGGCAAATGCATCAGCATGACGGTTTCCTTCGCGAGATATCCAAATGATTTCCGTCATCCAAGCCTTGTTACGAATTCTTGCTATAGCACGAAGGTGAGTTTACAGCCGCAGTATTGTTCACCATACGAACCGCTTGTTAAGAATCTAATTGAACTCGGAGGACTTCAAATCCTTGTTGCCAAGCAAGCTGTAGACCGAAGTATATGGCCCAAAGCTCGGCTTGAAGAACGTCGAGAATACCCACAACTTTGTGGAATCCGATCATCCAAACACAATCTTTGTCACGAATAAGACCACCGATTGAACATGTGTATAGAATGATTCTCATGCATTATTTACAATTGTAACATTGCCACAAATTAAGCTCAGCAAACGTGTTGTATTTAGAGATAACAATTAGACTCGAATTCAATGTGTTTTGATCCAATCCAATAGGATTTTTTTAAAAATCAGATTTTGTAAAGGGTGAGGTTGGATCGTGTTGGGTTCGAATTTAGGGTGAAATTTTTTCAACCTGATACAAGATAAATAGTATAATTTCCTTCTATATATTCATAGGTAATATTCGTAATATCTCATATATATATATTTTTCAATTAGACCTTTATCTTATTAAATACATACATATATGTGTGTGTCGGGTGCATCAGGTTCTATATGGTTGAATGATTTTTTTTAATCTCTTTTCGAGTTAAATTGAATTGTTTGAATACCCGATTCAATCAAATTTGTTGCCATCCTAATTGTATTTTAGAGCAAACATAAGTTGTTGAGAATTGATGAACATTCAAGGCAACTACTATTGGCGATCAGAAAGGAAAAAACAAAATCACTTGGAGTATGTTTTTGCATGCCCTTTCTCATTTAATACATGGTTTTTTCCATTCATTAACGTCACTAGCAATATTGTTGGTATGGCTGAAGAAGTTGAACAAAAAGTCGAATCACTTCAATCTGCCATCGGCTCAATTGTCAACTTTCACATTAAATGTTAATTCAGATATAACATCTAATATATTTAAAACACATAAATCAAATTTTAAATAAATTTATACTTTCGGATAGACAAGACAAATCTGACCTGTTAAAAAAACGACTCCTAAATTTTAGTGAGATTATTATTTGTTGTTTTATCAAGTCACATCAAAACTATCCATTTAATAAATATAGAAGCCTTTAAATTTTTATCAATGCCAAATCACTAATGTGACTTGATTGATATGATATTGAAACTTTAGAAACTTTTGAAATTTAAAGACCATTGTAGAATCCGAGTCATATATATATATATATATATATATATATGATTCATCAGTCAGCACAATGAATTCAACCTGTCACAACTGAAATTAACTTCAGCTTCATGGTCTGCATATAAAATGCTGCACAACAGAGTGGTAGAGTAATGGGAAGTACAGAATCAACGTCACAAGGGATTATTGGGAGTTTAGTAAGTAATGATCGAAAACAAAAAAATAATCATTTGAGCATGATCCATGCTCTTAGATTCAAATACGATACTGAGAGCTACAAAAATGGAGGATTGGATCCTTTATTATGCTCATTTAAATAGAGTTAGCTGTTGTATAAATCAAGTCTAATGTGGTTTTGCAACATACCCATCAACCGCAAAGTTCCGAGTGGCAGCAGGGATTGCTAAACGAATTCCATCGAGTTCCGAACTTGCAACTATTTGACATCCCAGACGAGATCTGAAATAGTTTGAGAGCAAGGCAATCCATTTCGATTAAATTTCACACACACACACACATATCATCGAGCAGATTATAATGAAGGAGCTCACGTTTCTGTAAGCCCAAAGGCCAGGTCCAACATGTCATTCTCCTCATCAACTGGATCTTCTAATTTATTATAGTACTCCATGTCCTAGCAAAAGAGTCGATAGTTAGGAGATAATAGGTTGAAAGAATATTAAATATTAATGTAAACCGATTAACATCATGTTTGATTAATATAATGGCAATAGCATACCATCACTATGACATGACATGTTGAACAAGCAAGTGAACCCTCACATGCTCCTGAAATGGCGGTACTAACGGACATTACATATTGGCAATGAATTATAAATTAGTTGACCAAAGTACTTAACCCGTAAATGAACTACTCCAAGTCTCCAATAAAATGGAAGCTAGAAAATCATGGTTCAACAATGAATAATGATCCTTACCTTCGAGCTCTATATCGTTTTCATGAGCTGCTTCCAGCATAGATATTCCAATAGGCACTCGTATGGGGATATCTTCTCCATCCTTTGAAACAAATGTGACAGATATCCTGCCATATAAGACAATCTACCGTGAAAAAAAGAACAAAATAAAAATAATCAATTTTAGATTATTGTGTACGAAGCCATTAAGTCGAACTCAAACTCCACTTTCAAAGTCGGCGAATGTCATAAATTGCAATCTGAATCTACCACAAACTAAAAAAGTGCAAGAGCCACATCAAGCAGAGATAGACAGAAGACCAGAAAAGCACTCCAGCAAAATCCACAACCAATTAAAGGCTCCTGTATAAATAGATACAGATCCTCCTACGAATGGGTTTGTGCAGGATGCTATTCTACCCCTTAGCTGAGGCCTTAATTGAACATCAAAGTTCAAGTTTGCTTCCAAGCATGCCAAAATATGTAAAAAATGTTTCGTCTTGACAAAGAAAGTCTTTTCCTATGTAGTGCCATATTATCAGTATAGAATAACTTAAAATGTCGTTGAAGTTATATCACCATCTCTCCAAGAACTTGAAAATCGAAATTAAGTTTGTTTATTTCTTCTTTAATGTTTTTATGCATTGTATCCTAAAAAATAATCGGGGAGTTGATAATTAATATGACCTAGATAAAAAATTCACCAATCTAATAAGATTAACACTAAATGAAAGATCCATAACTTCATCCAACAGTCCTAGCCACCATGCTATTAAAATTTTATTTAAAGAGCTTACTCTTCTTTCTCTTCATCCCCTCCTGCAGAAGCACCGTCAGAAGCCGAGGTAGAAATACCATGATACTTTTGCAATACAGCACCGTGGAAGGCTCTAATTTCTGGCAGGAATTCAAGCTGACCAAAAAAATTGAAGAAACAAGAGAAGGATGATGGGAAAATTTCACTGATAATTTGCTGAACACAAAAACATATTTTTCCAGATAAATAGCTATAATTGAAATCCTTTCCTATTCAAAACTCTGAAGGGTAATATCAACAATATGGAGATATCGTATCGTTCTTCAATGTTTATACCAATACCAACCATAGATGTGCTGTACTTCAATATCTCGGAAATTATTTCCTTAAATACCCTTGCAACAAGATGTTTGTTTCCTCCATCTTATTACTATTCAGATCTCATCAAATGTTTGTTTGAGTTCAACCATATTTTCTCATGCAATTGGCACCTAATTTTAGCACTACTTTGCTATCCCTCTGACAAATCCAAAACTTGTCACCAGAACTAACATTAATGAAATAATACTATCCCCTTAGAAAACAAAATCAATGGCACACCATTTCCTTTTGGTAGATATGACAAGAGACCATTCTTCTCACATGAAAACGAGACCGCACTCAGTCATCTATGAGCTCTTCAAAAATCAGAATAATTCGATTATGCTAACAACTAATTATTTTCTAAACTTGAATGAGGGGCAAGGACTAATCGTGTCATTAGCTCATTGACTAGAGTAGTCAACACAATACATCTCCTAAAAAGTTATAAGATTATCCACTATTGGGTCACATAACTAGCTACTGATAAAGAGGCTAATCTCATTTACATTTCACGACTAAAGCTTCAACTTAATTCCCAATAAACTGCTAAATTTTCCAGTTAATTTCATTCACAGTTGCACTTCACTATTCAAGACAGGGTCAAGCATATCATAAGCGCTAAAATAACTTGGCCAATTGTTGACAACAACCAAATGTGAATGTTAACCACAAATCATTTCTTAGGTTGCATTCTTTCAACGACATGAAAGGGATAGGTAAAGCATGTCAAATCATATTTTCCCCAAATGAAATATGTAACCATCACTAACCAGAGACTGCTGGTATTGCCTGCAAGGCCCTTGTGTATAATATCTTGTTCTATACGTATGTGTACATCCACCTGTCGAAGAGAGTACAATTTCATGTCGAGTCTGTATGTTAAGGTTTCACATACACAATTATCAAAACAACTTGTCTACTTAGAAACTACAAGTCCATCATTTTTTTTTATTTCTCTAATATTAATAATGGCAATCAAGCATAACAAATGAAGCTAAATTGAAAATAAAAGCATACCTCTTGATAGCTCTCGGGCAACCCGAAATCCAACTCTACAAAGCCTAGAAATTAACATAATTTGAAGTGATAAGATAGGCCCTGTGGAAAGTATGGGAAACCAATATAGTTTTAGAGATTAAAAACTCCATTCCTTTGGCAAACGTATCAAATTCCAAAATAACTTGCTTTTCAGAGCGAATTAATTAAAAAAAAGATTTAACAGAGTGTTTAACTATTTATCTACGCAGTTGTTTAATGATAATAGAAAAATAATTAAATCCCCAAAAAGCAGAAATAACGATTAAAGTGAACCAGTGAAGAACTTTAGAAATAACGATTAAAGTATATGTATATATTACCTTTTGTAACGAGATAAAAGAGAGAAATGAAACAGCGAGCTTCGCTGGATTTTTTAAGCCGAGAAAGCCCACTAGGTTCGGCGGCAAAGAGTCACCGCCGGCGAAGGCAATTTGCTGAAGTTTGACGAACAATTTTGTTTTGAATAATATGCGCCGTCGAGAGAGACAAAGAAGAAAGAATGAGTGCTCTATACCAAACCCAATAGAAACGGCGCCGTTTGAAGGTAAACTTTTAAAGAAAAGAGGTAAAACCAATTCATGGAGATGCGGGGGATCGAACCCCGTGCCTCTCGCATGCAAAGCGAGCGCTCTACCATTTGAGCTACATCCCCTGCTGATAAAAGACTTATTATATTTGTTTATATCAATTATAATATCAGTTTTGTTTTTAACGTGTTAACTTGACTAATTAAAAAATTAATGTATTTTAAAAGATTATGAGAATTGAAGATTTGATTTTTAAAAAAAGATAATCTAATTTAAAATTTTTTTAGGATATTATAAGTTCGATTCTTATGCTCTTTAAATATATATTAATATTTTTAAATCATAAATTAATGATATAATAACAATAGTACGATAATGAGAGTTTAAAATTTTATATATAATATTTTGAAATTAATTTAAAGTTATAATTTTAAAATTAATATAAAACATTTTAAATTAATAAATTAATGTATAAAGAGGTCCTAGTTTGAGACATCATTTATTTCTTATATATATAAAACTAGAGGTGGGGCTGTTTAAAAGGGAAGAATAAAATAGATAAAAAAAAAGGAGACAAGGCTGGGCCCACAGAGAATAAGAGAAGCACGTGCACCCAAGAAGCAAAGAAACGAAAAGCGATGTTTGGTCCAATTACGGGTGACACGTCATCCAAAGTTGAGCTAATCTACCCCTTTACTTACGGTTTCTCATTCGATCTCCTCCATCACCACCACACAATTAATAACACAAAAGAATCACTATTCTTAATCTTTAAGTAGGGGTGTGAGTTTTCTTATATCGGATTAGATATATGAAAATTCAAATCATTAAAATTGTGATCCTATTAGATTCGGAAAAAAATCAGATATTTAAAATTTCAGATATTTAGATATTTGGATCCGAATATAAATTTGAGTATAACAAAAATTTAAAATTTAAGTTTAACATTTGTTGACTTTATATAATATATTATATACATATACTATATATATATTTAGCAAAAACATACTTGAACAATTCTAATATAAGATCTTAATGTGTTATTTTAAGGGCTAAAAAACAAATAAATCTAAAAAGAAAAAAAGAAAAAGAATGAATAATAGATACAAAAGATATAAAGTTATAAAAATTGATGGGCCCATTTCAATATGCAAAAGTATGGTAACAGAGTTTGATTCTTCAAAAGGCGTCTTAGATAATTCGAAATTACATTTTAATATATCCATATTCAATCTGATTATTTTTTCCAAATATTCGATTTGAATTATCTGAAAATTAAAAGTTTAATCGAACATTTAAATTTTTAGATTAAATTAATAAAATGACAGATGAATTAGTTGGATTGGATTTTTTTTACACAAAAATATATTGAAAACACATGTTATGATTCACTCAGTTTAAAAAAAATGTACAGAGAACCACATAACCTCGCATAAAAAATTAGATCCAGTCTATGGTGGGGTTCAAACCCATGTCTAAGTCATATAGAACATTTTTAAGGGCAAATGGTACTACACATCATCTCATAAATCGTATTAAATATAATATAAGTTTCTGACAGTCTCTTAAAAATCGAGAGATAAAATTTTATAAAAATACTTTTAGAAAATATAATATCAATTATTAAGATTTTTCAATCAAATATTCGATCAACACAACGTCATAAACATTTCTCAAAAAATGGAAAAATTCATCAATAATAAAAAATCAGTACAAGGTGTATTTAGATTTATTACATTTTTTTATTATATAAATAAACCGTGCTTGAATATTTAAATTTGAATTAAAAAAATACGTTATTTACATTGTATTTACTATTTAGATTCAATTGGACTTGTTCATGAGCTGTCTACTGCAGCAAGTTACCTTGTTACTTTTGGATGCAATGGAAAACTACTTAATCACCCCCCAATTTTTTTTAAAAAAGTAGACCTCTATTTAATAACTCAATTTATGATTTGATCCCTCTACTATTCTAAAATTGATAATTAATTCTTAATATTTTAACTTGATATAATTGAGTCTATTTACTTCAAATAGTATTCATTAGCTAGCTAGTCCATATAATTGGCATCGTTAACCATTTCGAATAAGACCTTGACATAGATTTTTTTCTTAAAAACACTTATTCACACGTATAAAGTACAATTATTTATGTTCTTCGTACATTTGAAATTTAACACACATGTTTTTATTTTTAGAGATTTAGTCTCTTTACTTTTCAGGTATTAAAATTAAATCCAATTGTTAACACAATTAAAATTCTTTTATTAATTTGGGTCCATTACATTTGAAATTGAGGAAAAAAAATTCAAATTGGTAGCCATGTAGCAATAAAAAAGTCTAAAATACCTGAATTTAATAGAAACATTTTTTTTTTTGAAAAATGATTTGTATTCGAAAAATGGAGAATACAAGAATAAGACGACATCGAGGGACTCGTTAAAAAACCTCCCTAAAATTAGATGGAGAAAAAAGAGTACACCAAGAGTTTTCATTGGAAGAAAACCAAAGCTGAAAAAAGCAATACCACGTATTAGACGAATCAACCACACAATAAGGAAAAACGAAATATATCTACAGCACTGCTAGCAACCAGAAACTGCAACAACGTTCCAGCACCGAATCAGCAAATGCCACCCAACAACAAAGAATGACCATTGGAAAGGCAAACATGTGGCGCACAACATCTCCAAACAACTGAGGAAGCAAGACCCTACCACCAACTAGCATATGAAACAACTTCAAACAAGAGCAGTAAAAAAAGCAAGCCTCCAGAGATATGTAACCACCCATAAAAATAGAGATTGGATATGCACAGCAACACATCCCTAGAAACCAATTACAAGAAAATGATCAACAAAAACACTGTTGCCTAAAAATCCCAACAACCATACTTGGATCCCTAATAAAATCCGCGATAAGAATGTAACACTCAGGCCATTTCCACTTGCACCAGCAACCCAACCTCCAAATCGCAGCATCAAAACAACTATCAATGCAAAAACTCCTATTGTTAAACATAACATCATTTCTATGGACCCATATAGACCACAAGAATGCAAACAAGGCCAAATTCCATATCTTTTTGGACGATTTACAGATCGGGAAATCATTCCAGTAAACAAAGAGTGAACGCACATCGCTAGGGGAAATGAAAACGAAATTCCAAAACGTACACCAACGACACCATAAGATCCAAACTGTGATGCAGTGACAAAAAGATGATTTATAGATTCTTGTTCCTTATGGCACAACACACAGAAGGAAGAGACCATGGAAGACACCCCTCTTTTCTCAAGCTCGAATAAAACTAGCAGTCTATGGAGGACTGCTCTCCAAACAAAAAACTCTACTTTTGGAGGGGCAACGTTAGCCCAAACAAGCTTCCAAACCAAGTATCTATCCTCTTCCACCGAAGAAACCTTAAGCGGGTTTGAATTATATCAAATTAAAGTATGAAGAGTTAGAAATAGAGGTTTTAAGAAGAAATTGGAATAGTTAACACCATCAATTATTTGCACTTACCAATGATGTTGTAAAAGAAGAGGGTTTGAATTATAACAAATTAAAGTATAATAGCTAAAATTCTTATTTTAGCATAGTGTAGAGACCAAAACATAATTTGACCTTTTAATAATAAAGGAGAATGACCATTATTCAGTTAATGGATTTTTAATTAAAACACGTAATGAACATCAGTTATTGATTTAATTAGATAAAATAACTTAATTGATTTAAGGGTAATTAATATCTGATGAATTGATAAATAGAGCTTTAAAATCCATTGAAATGGACACCGTACTGCATTTAGCAGAAAACTCCAACCTCCGACACAGTCGCTTTACCCAAAGCAAATGTTGCTGCCACAATCAATGAAACAGCAAAACATTTCCAAATAATTAAAACCCGGAATCAGAAGAACTACCAACTCCGATTTCACTAACAATTGTTTTGTTTTTTTTGGGTGTTTTTCTTCTTCCTCCTCGTATCATTTTCCATCTTCGGTTTCCAATTCCCGACCCAAACCTCTTCCCTGTATTGCAGAGAATATTCAACAATGGATGATCAAGGCGAGAGCAAGTCCGGGATCCGGCAATTCATCAAACTGAAAGAAATCCTTCAAAAGTGGCAACCCGTCACTTTATGTTCGATGCCGGAAACGGATACCCCGCACTCGGGTGAAAATCACGGTTTTTCCTCACCGGCGGTCAACAGAAGTCTAAAGGATATTATGCGTTATGATTCCGATGAGGATAGTAGCCACGGTCCAGAGCCACCGGCTGATGTCCCGAAGGGATATCTAGCGGTTTACGTGGGGCAGGAGCTTCGAAGGTTTATCATCCCCACAAGCTACCTTAGCCATCCCGTGTTCACGATCTTGCTGGAGAAGGCGGAGGAGGAATTCGGGTACGATCATAACGGAGGACTTACTCTCCCGTGCGAGATCGAGACCTTCAAGTATCTCCTCAAGTGCATAGAGAACCATCCTAAGGATCGCCCTGTTGACAGCTCGGTTCCGAAGCAGGCATTTACTTTGCATCGCCATTCCAATTTTCAACCACATTATTCTCCAAACTTTCAACTAATACAAAACTTTCTTTTGATTGTTGCAGCTGCAGATTCATTAGATTCGTGGGGTTGAAGCAAGTTCACCATGTAAGCATTTTACTACTCTATTACTCCTATTTGGTCATTGATAAACAATAGAGTCAGGGTCGTAGGAATTGGACGATGAATCGAGAGACATGTTGTTTCCATTCAGTGTTGGATTCCGTAGTGATGTTTTCGTGGGTTTAATTTACTAAGCACATGCTGCTACAGTGTGGATGCACGGAAAGTGAAGTGCAATGGCAGTGATTATATATAATATTGAATTGTCATGTGGGTTTGGATTGAGTTGTCCCACTTTTGCCTTGTTATTACGGTCTGGTACCATAAGCTCATATGATTGATTATTTATTTATTATTATGAATCATCCAAGATTGTTTTATTGTTTGCACTACTCTTCTCATAAATTTGCACATGATCCAAAATATTGTATTCAAATTATTTTCAATTTCTTTAGCCGGTTATTATATTTAAATTTTCTATAATTATAATCAATATTAATTATTATAGCATACGACTAAATTGATAATTAAAGTATATTCCTAACGTGAATTGTTCAATGATAATGTCATCGGTGCTTGGAATTTTCTATGGGATTTTGACATTAAGGTTAGAGACATGAACCCATGAAGATTTTTTAATAGAGATAGCTGATCGATAAAGGGGACAGGAGAATTACAAATAACATCATATTCACTCTTAAAGGCCTAAATGTAATTATATAAATAAATAATTAAAATGTTATACATTATATTATATATTTTTAATTAAGTTACAAGAGAGTAATATATGTTTTAGTATTTTCAACCATTTGACAATAAAAACTCTCAATCACTCTTGCAATCGTTAATGCTTGAACCCGTGATCTCTAAGAATAATAATGATTCTTTTAACCAAGGTAAGTTGGTTCATTTATTTTATATATATATATATATATATATATATATATATATATAAAAAAGTAATACTCAAAAAAATGAATATGAAATCTATAAAACAAGAATATTTAAAGGTAGTGAAAGGATTGTTCAAATCAAGTTGGAATTGATTATTTTGAGTTGGGCCATTTTAAATTAGATTGTATTTAGTTTAAGTTTATTTTGAGTCGTATAGAATCTAGTTTAAATTTAGTTCAACTCTATGGTAAGTTAGACTGAGTTGAGTATTGAATCAGTCGATTTTTGACTTGAACTAATATCAGATTGATCGATTTTTGGTTCAGAGTAATCTTTGAATCTTTAAGTCAATTTGAATTGAGTTGAGTATGAATTCAATTGAAATTAAAAAATAAATAATATAAAAGATGATGATTATCTGGTAGTATAATACTATTGAATCATGAATCTATTACCAAATATGGTGATTAACTATTAATATAATACAAAAGGACCATGTTGAATATTAGTATTAGTATCATACAAAAGGACAATAGAACATAAAAGCATTTTATTATTAATCATATTGTTTAAAAAATATAATAATAAAGAAAATTATTCGTTCACTTTGACTCGATTATCGAGTTAAAATCTAATCCATGATATATTCAAATTAGATTTGAGTAAATTAAATTCATATTACTTTAGATTCGAGTTGTTTTATGTTCAAGCCAAATTAGGTACATATCCATATCAATCTAACTAAGATTTAGGTTGCTTTTTAGTTTAATTTAGAACGTATTCTTCAATTTACCAGACAGTGCAAATGGATGGTTGATTGGTCGGTTCGTTATCGTGGGACCAAAAAGCGTAACCCAAATCCCTCCAAACCCAATTACAATTTTGAAGAAAAATCAAAGATATTTAGAAGTATCAATCAGAAGTTATTTACTTATTATGTTTGAAAAAAATATATTACATCATTTTATTGAATAGAAGAGACATATAATTTCATTTTTATAAATATCCAACTTAATCAATGCTAATAAATACGAATATAATAACATTTCCTTCTAAGAAATAGCGTCAAGATTTATATTCATTTCTTGGGCAAAATGTTATCACCTTCAGCTCAATAGTCACTCTCCTACATATTCAATGCAATTCATGCCTCCTTAGACCACACTTCTCCATCATTTCTCCTTCACTCTATTCTTTTTTCTTAGGTAGGTGCTTCAATCTTCAACTTCACAATATTTTTCTTTATTTTTCTGGGTTTTTTTCTAATATTAATTGCCTGCTAAAACAATTTGAATTCTTAACCCTCGTTTGACACAATTTACTGTTTGTAGTGTAGTTAGATCTAGTCTAGTAATCTCCACCAACTTTTCCAGTGCTATATAACTGCTTTGCAGTTTCTCACTTTATCCATAGCTTGGTTTTTCATACATTTCTTCTCCTTTGCCATTCCAGGATCCAAGAAGCAATGGCTTCTGTTACCATTTGTGATCGTTTGGGTGAATCTCTAGCTACTCATCCACAGCCAGCCAAATCTATCCTCTCAAGGTATAATGTATATACATATACCTATACATATATATAGCAAATAAGCCCTGCCATTATTTTTCTGGGTTTTTTTTTTGTTTGTTAATTTTGATTGCATTTGTTCATATATAATTCAGTATTGAAAGCCTCGGAAAGGGTATTCATAAGTCTCAAAAGCTTTTCTCGGTTCTCGATAAGGAGGCCGGAAATCAAGCACTGGACGGTGTAGTTGTTTATGTCCTCAGGTCCACTCAGGTGACAATGAATAACACTTTTTTTTTTTGTTTATGTTTATCTTTCTTGATGTTATTTTGATGAGAATATTGGTCTGATACATTTTTATTTTGTGTAATAGGAAGCTGTGGTATCGTCTCCATTGGTCGCTCTCGCTATTCGTTCGGCTCCTGGTGTTTGGGAGCACATTGCTGTGGAGGTCCAAAAGCTTTTTGTTGAGGAATTGCCGGTTGCTGAGTACTTGAAGTTGAAGGAGGGGATTGTTGATTGAAGGTAGGTAGTTTAGATCTTCTAGTTTTCAAGTTATATTGAGTTTATGTTGAACGATGCTCAATGATGTGATTCAGCTCCAATGGCGGTGAGTTCACGTTGGAATTGGACTTTGGTGCATTCAACAATTCTGTTCCTCGTCCATCTCTTTCAAATTCCATTGGCAATGGCATGCATGGAATTCCTCAATCGCCACCTTTCTGCTAAACTATTCGAAGACAAGGAGAACTTGAACTTATTGCTTGAATTTCTACAAATTCATTGACAGAAGGGAAAGGTAACGATTAAAGAAGTATCGATCTGTTGTTCGTTTGTCATTGTAAATTTTAATACATCAGAACTTAAGGATCATTCACTATTGTGTCATACGGTATGCTATTGAATTAAAAAATCAAAGATGTGAATTAGCTCCGATATGCATTGAGGAAGGCAGAACAGTATCTGAATACCGTACCAACTGATACCGCGTACTCAGTTTTCGAGAAAAGGTTCAAGGAGATTGGTCTGGAGAAGGGATGGGGTGATAACGCTAAGCATGTTCTTGAGATGATCCATCTACTTCTGGATCTCCTGCAAGCACCGGATCCCGTCACTCTCGAGACCTTCCTCAGAAGAATCCCATTGGTCACCAATGTTGTTATCATGACTCCTCATGGATACTTTGCTCAAGACAATGTTTTGGGATACCCTGACACTGGTGGCCAGGTTGTTTACATCTTGGATCAAGTCCGAGCCTTGGAGGAAGAGATGCTTCACCGTTTCAAGCTGCAAGGACTCAACATTACCCCACGTATCCTTATCGTGAGTATCCAAATGTTATATCGGTTTTGATTCTCCTTTTTTTATCAGGATTTGTATAGCATTATGTTTGATGCTTACTTTGCTGTTCTTATGCCAGATTACTCGTCTCCTCCCTGATGCCGTAGGAACAACTTGCGGTCAGCGTCTCGAGAAAGTGTATGGAACAGAATATTCCGATGTTCTTCGTGTACCTTTCAGAACTGAGAAGGGAATCGTACGTCAATGGATCTCGAGATTTGAAGTCTGGTCCTACCTGCAGACTTACACCGAGAATGTTGCAGCTGAGATTACCAAAGAGTTCCAGGGCAAGCCTGATCTGATTATTGGGAACTACAGTGATGGAAACATTGTTGCTTCTTTACTGGCACATAAGTTTGACGTCACACAGGTTTGTTAAAAACCAATTCATTAACTAAGTTCATTTTGATGTATTTTAATGTTTCATATACAGTTTTAAAACTTGTTATTCGATGTCGAATACAGTGCACCATTGCTCATGCTCTCGAGAAGACGAAGTACCCAGATTCGGACATCAACTGGAAGCAGCTCGAGGATAAGTATCACTTCTCTTGTCAGTTCACTGCTGACCTTATTGCAATGAACCAAACTGATTTTATCATCACCAGCACCTTCCAAGAGATTGCTGGAAGGTAATATATATATATCTTCCACTTTACTTCGGTACCTATTCAAGACGCTAACAACGTCGGCATTCAGTGAATTTCAGCAAGGACACACTCGGCCAATACGAAAGTCACATGGCGTTCACTCTTCCGGGGCTCTACCGTGTTGTCGATGGGATCGATGTGTTTGATCCCAAATTCAATATTGTCTGCCGGTGCTGATATGAACATATACTTCCCTTACACGGAAGATAAACGGAGATTGAAGAAGTTCCACCCGGATATCTAAGAGCTTCTTTACAGCCCAGTTGAGAATGCAGATCACTTGTGAGTTTTCATCCTATTTTACACCTTTTTTTTCACTAGATTATCTGCACGATGTTAACATTGTTTTAAATTGTTGTTTCGCAGATGTGTTCTAAAAGATCGCAACAAGCCGATTCTGTTTACAATGGCACGGTTGGACCGTGTAAAGAACTTAACTGGACTCGTCGAGTTTTACGCCAAGAACAGCCGGTTGAGAGAACTCGTTAACTTGGTTGTAGTAGGTGGGTATAGGAGAAAGGAATCCAAGGACATAGAAGAGAAGGCTGAAATGAAGAAGATGCACGAACTTATCGAGAAATACAAGCTGAATGAACAATTCAGATGGATATCATCCCAGATGAACGAGTGCGAAATAGGGAACTTTATCGTTACATCTGCGACACCAAGGGTGCATTCGTTCAGCCTGCAATATATGAGGCTTTCGGCTTGACAGTTGTCGAGGCAATGACCTGTGGCCTACCAACATTTGCAACATGTTATGGAGGCCCTGCTGAGATTATTGTCCACAGCAAATCAGGGTTCAACATTGATCCTTATAACGGAGATGCGGCCGCCGAGACCCTTGTTAATTTCTTCGAGAAATGCAAGGCTGATCCGTCTTATTGGGAGGAGATCTCTCAGGGAGGCTTGCAACGCATACAGGAGAAGTAAGCAATAAGCTTTTGCATCTTAAAATTTTACGTATAAAACTATCCCATCTCTCATTTGCTTTTTCCTTTTAGGTATACATGGCAGATTTACTCTGAGAAGCTATCGACTCTCACTAGAGTTTATGGCTTCTCGAAACAGGCTTCTTACCTCGAACAACGTGGCCGCAAGCGCTACATCGAAATGTTGCATCCATTGATGTATAACAAGCAGGTAAATTATTCGGATTATTCATTTTTCTCGAAATATTCATGTTCGAACATAGTTTAATTCGTTTCTTGTGTGGTGCTTTTCAGGTCAAAACTGTTCCTCTCGCTGTCGAGTAAACAAAACTGTTTCTCATAAATGTTGTTTGCGAGTTTCCTCCTTTTCCCTTGGAATGTTTTGATCTTTGGGGTTTGTCCCATTGATTGCAATAAAGAATGGTTTTATTTTTTTTAAATGTTTTCGTCTAGCTATAGTATCGAAATTTATCCTTAAATCCAAATTTCTATTATCATTCACACCATCGCAGATTCACAAAACAACATACTGACACAATGTGTATACAAAGTCCATGATTTCTTTCAAGTTCTTCACAATTTAGGAGGCGGTAGAAGCCAATTGCTTCCATTGATATACTTTAAGCTCAAAAAAGGTCTAGCTTCAACCTCGCTCAAAATTCTCGCAAATCCAACTCGACCAGTCGAACTCGCCCCCGGCCCCATGCACCTGTATTCGCCATAATACACGGTCCTGAAAAATCATTAAACCAAATTACATTTGGATACAGTACGTGAAATTAGCTCAAATATATGCATACTTGCTACGCTCAGGGTGCTTATTAGTAGACCAGCCTTCGCTGTGTACGATGTTGCCCATGTAAGTGAAAGCAAAGATAACTCTCGGTCTTTGCCTCCATGCACGACCGAGGTACGTTGTGCCGTTTCCCGAACCAGTAATGTTGCAATAAAGGAATGTAAATCCACTGTCGTCTTCAACCTTTTCTCTTGCTTGTGCTGTGATCACACCGGGGTACTTGGCAACGGAATGAATCGTGGTGTTCTGTAACAAAAAAACATAGATCAGTACATGAATTTGGTACCCTTTAGAAAATTTGGACACTTACCAGATAAAGAGATTTGCCATTTCCGAAGATGAAATCAACGGTGCCTTCAATGTAGCAGTCTTTGAAGAAATGCATGCCTCTATCGTCGCACAATGTATCTTGGAACCCTATGAACTTGCAGTTATGGAAGGCTGCTTTGTTTCCCGATATTCTCATAGCCACAGCTTGCGCCAACACTTTCCGCCCGTCCGGCATCGGAGCTGAATTCTATCAAGAGTTCACCAAGAAAACCTATGAATGATATAACGCTCTCAACTAAGGAAACCGAGTAATGAATGGAAAAAAATAACCTTACCATAAAGGCAATGTTAACGGCCACGAAGTAATCACTGTCCACCGCCACCGTCGCACTATTCAACGTACCGAACTCCGCGGCCGTACCATTAAACACTATCTTTGGCATATCAAGAGGGTCTCCAAACAAGGTCACGAAGTTCTTGGTCCTATTAATGGTGATCTTCTCAAAGTAGTAGCCTCCGCCTATCCAAATCACCACCCTTTGCATGTTCCATAACGGGATGCTATCCACGGCGGCGGTCACGTTGTCAAAGTCTCCAGTTCCGTTTTTGTTTACGATGATCAGTTTAAAACCCCTTTCCTCGGCGTTAACTAGGACGTAATCCAGAACGGTGCCGTTGAACAAGGCATCGGCAATGTTGTTGGCTTGCCTTTCTTGGAGTTCTTTCATGTTGGCAGCAATCCATGACTCGAGTGTGGGTGCAACTGGCGACGGTGAGGTGTAATTGGGGCCGAAAGTTACTCCGGGAACGAGTTCAAGAACGAGGGAAGTTGTTGAAACAGTGGTGAGGAAGAAGAGGAAGAAGAAGAAGGTGGTTTTCATTTCTTGGGACATTTCTGGATTGATTATTTCTTCATAATCCATAGATGGTTTTGGCTTTTATAGGATTGTAATGCAAAAGAAATGGTTGTAAGGTGAAATTGACTGTTTTATTTTCCAGGGTCCGGGAACTGTAACGTTTGTGGTTGAAGATAGTTGCCATGACAGGCACGGTTACTGGCCGAGTTCGGTAAATGGGGCAACTGAGCCGGCTCGGTAAAGAGCGTTGGGAAGATGGGTTTGGGCCTATGGTTTTGGTAAATCGATATCTATAGGCCATGTTTAGGTGAACGTGAGTGGTGGGCTTTCTCTATTTTGCATAGGAAACGACGGGCTTTGACCCAAAAGTTTTCACTTTAAGTATAAGTTGGACAAAGTACACTATACGCAACTAAACTATGCTCAAATCATCATTTTGACAAATGAACTTTCAAAAGTTATAAGATAATCTTTACATTAATCCAATTATTATTAAATAATTATTAAATTGATCAAAAATTTGTAATTAGTACAATGCCACATTTTTCTAATAATCATATTGAATTATAACTAAATAAAAAAAAAATTGAACTGAGTTGAATTCTCAAACAAAAATCAAACTAGCTCTTCCAATATTATTTTTTAGATTCAAAATATTTGAAAATGTAAAAAAAAATTTATCGTTTGAACCAAACTTAAAGAAGATAATTTTGAAATTAATATAATATATATATTGTTATATCTCCAGAGATGATCTCTATAAATCTTTCTATCCACTAAAGTCTCCGACTGATCTACATACTCTAAGATTTATGATAAACCCACGCGATGTGTTAGAACAAAATCTAAAATTTGACTACCAGATTTACGTAGCCTACCGACTTAAAAATAGTCATGATGAACCTACGGCTGACACATACAATAAAAGATACTATAAATACCCTATAATTAAGACCGGAAATGATGAATTATTCACAATCAAGCCTCTTTCTTCTTCCTCATTAAAATTTATTCTACACATCATTTAAAAATTACCAATAATTAATCTTTCATCCATCATAACTCTTCACTCAAGCTAAAAGAAGTGAACCATTTCTTAAATTGTATATGCCTTGTTTTTCTTTTGAGAGAGAATGAATAGAAGAACCCATAGTTTTGTTGGGTGGGAAACCGTGGGATTTAGAATTGGGAACATATCACATGTCACGTGGTTTAATTGGTTTTGAACTATTGGATTTTAGTGCCTACAACCAATACCATACTGTTAGAGGCTACAATGCAATGTTTCTTTGTCCCCAAGAGTCATTCTTGAATATTTAATACATAAGACTTTAGGAGCCAAGCATATTTATGCTATGACCCACACCCTTAAAAATGATGTACAAATTTATAGATAGAGAACCTCAGCATTAATGTATGCCTAAAATAAGGTCGGGGGATTTATCTATTTGATTTAGATAGAAAATTTTATGGTACAATCTATTTAGTGAACAATTAAATTGAAAGAAAAATGAAAATAAGTGAAGGATGTAGAACTACAATATATTTTAATTAAATGATTTAATATCAAAATAAGTGCCCAAATTATACCTTTTTTTCAAAGGGGTGCCTAAAATTTTTTGGGATCAATCTAAGTGTCTAACGTTACAAATGTTACCATTTTAAGTGCTTCGGCCGTAACAGTCATTAAAAAACTTTGTTAAGTGACATGTGTCACGTTCTAGTAATTTTAAAATTTTATCTAAAATAAAAAATTTAAAAATATAATTTCATTCAAATAAACCCTAAAAGATTCAAAAATCTTTAAAAAATTCAAAACTTTGAAAAGTTTTATTTCAATCCCTAAACCACCGCAGGCCATCGCCCTTTGCCGTCGTCAAACCTTTATCCGACGACCAATAATCCCACAAACAACCACCAAAACAAGAGCCAACAAGCGACTAATCACATGACTCCCTGAAGAAGACCAAAGCTGCAAATTGCAACCCTACACGATCCCGATAGTCAATCAACAACAAAGATGACGATGTCTGACTAGGGAGATGGCAAGGACTACGTCGAGAGTGACGGTCATGGCTGCAAGGGAGGTAAGGTTAGATATTTAAGAATTTTAGGGGTTTGAGGTTTTTTTCCGTAATTTAATTGAAATAAAAAATTGATAATATTTTAAAGCTTTTTTAAAAATAAAAATTTCAAAATTATCTGAAGGCGACACGTGTCACTTAATGAGTTTTTTAATGGTCATTACGGTCGAGGCACCTAAAGTAACGTTTGTAACATTAGGCACCTAGATTAACCCAAAAAAAGTTTGGGCATCACATTGAGAAAAATGATATAAATTGAACACTTATTTTTATATTAATCCTAATTAAATTAGAGTTCTAATATTAAAATTATATATATATATATATATATATATATATATATATATGTTTGTGATCATTTAGTTTTCGTTACCCGTAATATTTATTTATAAGTTAATGAGCCGTAGCCACACATTATCACAAGTTGTTGCATGAACATGTCAACCATGGATATGTGGAGTTCATCACTTGGGTTCTAAGCTATATCTGAGTGCATGAAGACTCATATCCGTATGTATCTGTTTCTTCACCGATTTGTCCTTTTCGGGTGCGTTTCCTAAATGCACAAACATATCTCACCTTTTATATTATATTATGGGTTTACAATGTTGATGGCATGTGCACCTCTTTTTGTCTCAATCATTCTCATACTTAAGGAACATGGGTATTTCGATCTCTTTTTAGTATTGGTTTTTAGCTTTGAGTGGCAACATGCCTGGAGCTAGGGTTGCCAATGCCCATGCCTTCTTGGCTTCAAGCCGTTGGACAAAAACTAAAACCTAACTTCTTTTCTTATAGATATGGTTCAATGAACAGATAAGAGTAAACACATGCGGTATGTGCTAATACCAGCATTAATCGGACCCAAAACCCATGTATGTGTATCAAATCCAAAATACATTCCAACTCGTGAGACAACACTTAGTCATCCACACCTTTCATGTTGTCTAATAAAACTTTTATTGTCTGCTGATTCGATATACCACGTATCTTTATCATACTAATCTAAAATTCAACAAGGTTCGATGTGTATATGTATAAACAATGTTTGGTGATGAAATCTATTGTGTAGAAGAAAGTTCACATAACCCTCTCGTCTGTTGCATGTGCGTTTATGGGGGTGGGGGCAAACCATAATATATGTCAGGTGAGAGAGCAATAATTAAGAAAAAAAATATGGACAAAAATTCCTCGTGTAACATTGGCCTATCATTACTTCATATCCCATTCCCACGACCACCTCTCACGTGGGATCATCTCCCCTTTTCTCTTTACTCAAATTATATATTTTCACCTTTTAAAAAATAAATTATATATTCTCTTTAACGTCTTAACAAGAGATGTTATAGGTTGGATCGAGTTAAATTTTTAACCGATTTAAATTCAAGTCTAGTATTATATTTCATTTGTATATCATCGGATTTAATCTAAATTTAAAGAAATTCTATTTAATCTAAATTTAAGAAAATTTCATTTAATCTAAAATTTGGCCCGACATACATATATATAATTCTTATTTTTATTAAGTAAAATATGAACCTAAGTGAATATATATATATATATAGAAATGAATATTATTGTAACTATATTTAAATATATAGTAGATAATTATATTGTTATATCGGATAAGGTCAAGAGTGTTTCACCTATACTTAAACTAGACTTGACGAGAACCTCGATTTTAAAATATTGATCTTATAAAATCAGATGAAATTAGAACCTATCATGTCACGATCTCATACCCATTTATAGGTTTAATTATTATTACTATTACAATATCTAAAAGATCATAAATTATTAAAATTGTTACGAAATTTACCATAAATTATTACACAATATTTTTTTTAGATTCAATTATTTGATTATGCTCTCTTAATTTGGAAATTGGGTAAATTAAACCACAGTCTCTAATTTATTAGGTTCAATCGTATTTTAAGTCCTTCTTAAACTACATGATTAGTTCATTACTTATCATTTTTCAATTTAAATACCTATCAATTTCAAAATTGAACAAATCTGACCCTGATAAATTGATGGTTTAAATATTAAATTCTAACTCTATTTTATTGATGTTTATATTTATCTTCTAAAATTTTAATCTGATCCTATCTCAACATATGTTAATATAAATATTTCATAAAATGTAACGAGAAGTGTATTCTAGTAATCTTAAAATGAATCAAAATCTAAAGAGATAATTGCACCATACATCTATAAATTGCGAACCTCGGTTTAAAATTTTCCCTAAATTTTTTGCCATTTTAGTTTATCCTCAAACGATAACTCTCATTCTAACATTGGTCTTCCAACTATAACCCTCATTCTAAATTAATCTTCATTTCTTAACGTTCCAATAACACTCCCTCGAAATCATTCAAAAGTTTGAGGATAAAATTAAAATATTCAAAAGTTTTTTTTTTTTTAAAGGGTACTTTGTATTAAGGAATAACACGAAAGTACACCACCCCAAGGTGCAGCCTACATCAAGAAAGGATTACAGATAAAATAACACACTTCAAACAGATCCAACACAAGTTTGGGACGATCAAAAGTTTAGTGATTGATTTAAAAAGAGAGTTATAATTTGGGGATGAAATTGAAATACTCAAAAGTTTAGGTGCAATTAATTCAAAACTAAATAAGAAAATTGTAGGTGGTAGATAAGGCTGGAAGTTACGTGCAATGAATGATCAAAGCGTGAAAACTGGAATTAACCTTGTGGAGGAGGTGGCGGCGGCGGCCATGGAAACTTGGCAAACGCGTTACAGATGGCTAAGCCTAAAATGCGTTATTTTTATTTCGAGTTTTCCACCAGCCCACGGCCAAGAAAATTGTGAGCAGGTTCCAGAAAATGCAACAAATGCTTCAAGGAAATGGCATCTCCTAACCACCCAATCTGTTCGAACACCATGCAATTTCTTAATTACATAGCTAATCAACTCTCATAATTTTCAATTCTTCTCGTCTCACAATATGGACACT